ATGTGAGCAGAGGCTCCCCAGCCCATGGGGTATGTGGCTTTTGACTCTGGCTGGGTAATTCAGTCGTCCTTTCCCAAGCACAGCCACTGCACCCACAGCCCAGGACAGGGACAATCAGGGTTTCTGTGCCCACACTGGTGGTGCAGCACCTTCTGCCTGTGGCATCCAAAGAGGATCTCTCATCAGGCTGGCAGCTGTGGGCTCAGGATAAAGCTCTGTGGTTATGGGTGCAGCCAGTCCCTGGCACAGGTGTCCTGGTTTGTTGCTCACAGATTGAAACAAATTGAACAGAAACTCAAAAAACTCTTCAAAATGCTGTAGTGAAAGGTCTGGGAGGAAGCTGGAGGCATAGACCCTATGGCTTTGTGGGCAGAGATGGGTGTCCACAGGAGCATCTGGCAGAGGGTACCTGATTTGTGCTTCCCAGACAGAGCTGTGATGTAAAAATGTGTGATGTAAAAATGTCCCCTCATGTGTGGAGGAGGGAGCTCACTCCCAGGCTCTGAGCTGCCAGCTCACAGCTGGGCTAATGGGAAGGAATGCACTCCCCAGCAATGATTCTTTATAAATTATTTTTACTGGGAGATTTGAGTGTCATTACATTGAATGTGTGTACAAATATAGGAAGAACAATGTGTGCTAGAGAAAACAAAGTGAAAAACCACCCGGCTTCCTATTTCTCATGGGTAAACCTGTGATTTCTCCCACCTTCTTGAGTTGCAGAGTAGTACAATATTGTATAGCCTGCTGCCTCCTTAAATAATTCCTGCTGGAGTAGCAGACACTGAGTACATCACTCAAACCCCATGAAGTTGCTTAGCTTTCAGATCCACATCCTGAGGAGTTAACCCTCTGGGAGAATGGAATGACCTGGGTGTTCCTCTGGGTGCTCTCCTGGCACAGGATAACTCCTGGCATGGGGCTGGAGCTAGATAATTTGAGGGGGATTCCAGTTTTACTGTCAGTCCTATTCTCCTGAGCTCCCATTTCCCCTCTTCCTGTTCCTCACACTTCTATTGTGATTCAAATAAATGTGATATATTAATGTTTCACCGGTTTAAAATGAACTGCAATTACCAACACAGGATTTATTTCATTTACTTCCAGCCACCTAGAAGGCAAGCATCTGGCTTACACAAGTCAGTTATAGTCTGGGGAGAGCCATGGGCATTACCAGAAGTCAAAAGCCTTCCTGCCTATTTTAAATACCTTTTTTAGGCTGAGATGAGCAGCACACTGAAAGCCCATGGCTCTAGAGGAGTTACAAACCCAAGGTTTAGATGATTCAGGTGTGGTGACTTGAAATCCACCTTCAACATTTGTTCAGAAAGAAACTGTGAAAGATGAGATCAGTGTGGATCAATGTGTTTGGGATTTTGATAGGGAGGCCACAAGGGCTTGTGTTGATCACAATACTGACTCTAACAACCACCTTTACATTTCTCATCCAGAGAAATGCCAACTCCAGGCTTTACATTTTTTCATGCAGAGTGTTTCAGCGTTTTTTAGTAGAAAAGCAAAGCAGCATCTGTCAATTTTTAAATAAATTTTTTCCTATAAATTATTGCCTTGAAAAATAACAAGGCTGTGGAAGAGGAAGAAGGAGCAACTGAAGATGTCACTTAATATTTTAACAGCCCCTGGAGTATGAAATGATGAGGTTATTTCTACGCAGAACTTTGAGCACTCAACAAGGCACTGTAACTTTCAGCCCCTCATGCCTTGAGCAGAATCAAAATGAATAATTTAGAGAAGAAAGTCTCTTCAACTCTTTGCCATAGGTTGTGTGGCTGTGACACCTCAAAGCAACCTGGGCTTGTCATCTCCACAGGTGCTGAGGAACTATGGGGACACAGTGCCAGCTCTACTGGGGTTTCTGTCTTTCTTCAGCCATTCTGCTGCCACTTTTAGGGGCTTTAGGAGACTTTTTTGTTGTAAGCACTCCAGCTTTTGACTGGCAGCATAGCACATGTGGAGCAGCAGCTCAGCAGTGCCAGTAAAACTGCTGAGTACACACAGAGCTGCAGCCAGGCTCATAGCACCAAGATGGATGGGGATGGGGACAGATGAGAGCCAAGAAGAGCAACCAAAACCTGAGATAGAGTCAAACTTTTGCCAGCAAAGCAATGCAGTCAGAACAACCACTTTTTTCTTGCAGTGTTTAAGTGGTTTAATGAAGTTGAGGGAGTAATCCCCAAAGGACATGAGTGTTGAACACACTGAGCAGGGAACAATGCACTTTGCTGAATGAGGAACCTGTGGGCAGGACCCCCTCTTAGCACAGCAGTGGAGCTCTTTTGTGCTATGGTGGGGCTGCCCAGACCAACCTGAGCTGGGTTTTAACTCGCATGGGCCGGGCACAAACCCTGCAGAAGACTCTGCAGATGAGGACCTGTGGCATCAGAAGAGCCCTGGCTGGGCTCATGCTGGCTCAGAGTGCAGGGATTGCTCCTGCCCACAGACAGCCTCTGTCTGCCCCACTGGCCCCACAGCCAGTCACTGTGCCCTGTGAAGGCCAGCAGTGGTTACCAAATCAATCCAAAAGCTGCTACTTGTGGCTACAGGCTCTGGTCCAGCTTTGTTGTCAGGGTGCTGCAGGACCAGACAGCTCAGAGTTTAGACTGCAAAGGTGTTCAGCATCTAATATCTTTGGCTGTGCCACCAGAGAAATCTTGTTCCTTTAGGAAGAGGCTCAGGAATAGCAGGTTTCCCTCCCTGCCAGCTGGATTATACTCATAGCATCTTTGAGAATGAAGAACACTGCTGCCTTCACAGCTGAATATAGGCAACGTTTTCGAGCTTTTTCTGGATTTTCATGCCATGGAAACTCTTCTCAAATCCCCGCACCTAAATGAAGTCAGATCTAACCTTGCTTGGTAAAGCATCAGCAGCTGCTCAGTAAGATTTTCTCAATTTATGGCATGGCTTGCACAGATCTAGAAAACTCTAGTGACATTTTCATCAATATTATGCCATGAAAGGTAACCACTGGAAAACAGCAGGATCAATCAAGAAAAACTATCAACAATGGGAGAATATGCTATTTATTTACTAGTTATGCTAAGATGAAAGAGGGAAAGATGGTAAAAATGAAAAATATTCCTTTGAATTTATTTTATCATAGAGGTTTCTCTTGTTTCCTGTTGTATATTTCATAATGAAAGGAGGAAAAGTGATAAACTTCCTTTATTTTTGCTTTTTCAGTCTAAGGAAACTGCAATGGACAAACAAAAAGCCAGAATGTTTAAAAGACACTCCTTTTATCTCCTTTCATTAAAATGCATATTTAAACATAAATGTAAAAGATAGTCTAGGACATCTATGAAATGGCAGGGGTTTTTTTTCACCTTTTTGCAGAAGAAAAAATGTCTGATCCAAGTAGAAAAAAAACCACAATTGGGCAGGACAATTCCTTTGTCTTTCAGGCACAGACTCAAAAAATATAGGTAAGTTTATATATAAATACATATGCAGTAACCAAAACCTCAAATTCAAATACACCTGAGCTTTGGGGAAGTTTGTATATTGATTCAATCTTTGTGGCTTAGGCTCATCTGTTACAGAAATATTTGCAAATAGACAGAATACTTCCTCTTTAATCTTATCTAGTGATCTGTCTGTTTGTCTGGGATTTTCCTAGTGATGGCCTCAGATCCTGATATCTGAGGGCTGTGTAGCTAAATTACGGCGAGATCATACACAGCTTCACAGAGACCTTTATTTTCTTCTGTTTGCCATGAGCATGTGTTTTGGTTTAATCCACTGGGATGAAAGGCAGAGCAGCAGCACAGCCTGGCTCAGCCTCCACCAGGACTGTGCTTGGCCCACCTTTGGGAAAAGATATTTTGACTGATGGTTCATAAAATCATAGAATGATTTGGGTTGGAAGGGACCTTAAAGATCAGGGACACTGTGGACAGGGACAACCTTGTCTGGCTGTTTGCACTATGGGCAGACTGTGGCTGAGATGCACAAAGCAGCTCTGCAAGAGCTGTTAGTTCTCTTTCCAGGGGCTCTTCCACAGCTCCAAGCACATCCCAATCTTCATCTCCCAGCTCTGGTGCCTCCACCTGGTACCTTACCAGCTGTTCTACAGGTCACACAACTGGGTGGAGCAAATGCTGAATTCATGTCCAAGAGGTTTTTCTCCTACCAAGAGGATTGTTTAAGGTTTCACACCTTCAATGCCACCTTTAGGCAAGCTGCTGCACCTTGGCAATAGGGAAAGACTGTGAAATATCAGGATTTATCTACATGTGCTGGGCTAATTGTTGTAAATTAGCGTGCTCTGTTTATGCCCTAGAAGAACTCCAGGCACCACTGGCAAATAAGACAGATTGACTTGAGCTAAGCACCTTCACTTCTCTCTCTGTTGGAGGGCAGGAGGTGGACGAGGCTGTTTGGTAGCTGTTCAGCCCCAGTGCTGCTTAGACAACTACCCTGCTTTGTATTCTGAACAATTTATCATGGCTTGTACCTGCACTGGTAGTTACAATTACCCCAGAGATTTAGTGCATTGGGAAGGGCTCCAATTTCAACAGAGCTGTGCCAGTCAACATGGATGGGGATAAACAGGAAAATTTTTCAGAGTCCCATTGTGCCTTTTCCTTTCTGTGTCCCCCCACACTGCCCAGAGTGGTTTTGTCACCTCCTCGAGCATTTTCTCGTGGGCAGCTTCTCACCACTTCAGATTCCCAGCATTTTCTGAGTGAGACCTCACCCGCTCCTACCAGTGCTCGTGTGGTTAATGGGTGAGAGGAGGAGAGGGAACACATCTGACAGGAACACGAGAAATATAAACAATTTTATTAACAAGACCACAAAACTATTTTTTAATATATGCAGCCATTTACAAGGGACAAACAAACAAACAAACAGAAAAACCCACTGGGGAGACACAGTCGGTGTCTGTGACTGCAGTGAATTCACTCCTATGGTATGGGCAGGTTTGGGGAGGGTCCCTTTCCTCTGGGAAATACCATTCCCTGTGAAATCTGGCACTAAGGAGGTGGGGTGCCACCTGCATCCTGCTGGGGTGCCAGGGACGATGCCAGCTGGGTCAGGGCTCGGGCAATAGTGGAGAGGTGGCTGTTCATGGTCCGCAGCTCTGCCAGGATGTCGCTCACATTCGCTGATGCCTCGGAGCCCGCGGGCACGGCCTGGGCAGCCGGAGGTGGGGATGCAGCCCCCGGAACGCTGCTTCCCATAGGTGCTGCTTGGGCATTTTCCTCTTGGGAGGGCTGTGGGGCTGGGCTGCTGCAGGGCTTCATGCCTTCCAGGGAGCCTGTGCTTATGGGTGGCTGGTCTTCCTCCTTGCCTTGAATGGTGGCGAGTGTCGCTGAGGCGAGGAAGGGCAGCCAGTTGATGAGGTGGGTGGCACCACTGGGTGGGACAACCGGCAGATAAATCCCAGGGTGCAGGGATGGAGTAGAGGCAGATGGGGCAGGAAGGGAAGGAAGTCCAGGGTGAACAGTGGTAGCAGAAGTGGATGTTGATGGTGAAATAGGAGGTGGTTTTGGATGTAAGGCTGCAACACACGCAGGTAACGGTGGTGAAAATGATGCAGTACCAGTGTCAGAGGAACAGGAGGGTGATGCTGGAGCTGTGAAAGGTCCAGGCTCTTCAGAAGTTGGTGGTGAAGTGGCAGCAGGTGGAGCATCAGGAGTGCAAGGATCTGAATCTGCAAGGAAGATACACCATGAGCCTTGATTCACACATGTACTTACAGTCTGTTGCCTGCTGTTCCCTCAATGGGACCAAGCCTTCTTTGATGGAAGGGGAAATTTCACCTCCTGGCAGTGACACTCTCTGTAAGCCCATTAGAAAAGAACAGATGTAATCTAAGACAAGAGCCTATTGTAGGTAAGCATGAACTAAATATTATAAAAGTAAATTATCTTTCCACTCTCATTCTTCATAAAGCCTGTGGACAGGCCTGTGCATTTTTCTGGTTGGCATCTCATAGCTATGAATTAGCTGGTGAATTACCTGCTTGTTTTCCTGGCCAGTCATGAACCATGGTAATGTTCTAAGTGACTCAGATGTCCTGTGTAGATGGGAGGACTAGATGGCTTCTGCCAGAGCTGAAGTTAATTGCTGCTTTACAGAGGGTCCCAATTTTCAGCATTTTGGTTTGAACAGACAGCTAAACACCAGACAGAATAAGTGCTAGACTTAATGGCTTAGACCCTTAATTTTTTTATTTTTTTTTTTAATGTGTGGAACATGGCAGACTTCACACAATCAAAGTTTAATCTATACTCCTGCCTAGATCCCTTCAGCAACTTCAGATATGAAAATCAAAAAAGAAGAAACAGAAATAAATTGTTGACACTGGGAATCTCAGAATGGCATTTATGCCCTCTTGGAAGTAGTTCACTGGACCTAATCCAATGTCCACTAAAGTCACTAGAAGCATTCTTGCTTGGACTGAGTCCATCAGATACAGCATAGGAAGAAAGAGCAGCCTCTGGATGATATAAAGAAGCTTAGAGAGCCACATGATGGTCTAGGGTGCTCTACCCACTGTGCCCAGTTGCTAAATACCTTATGCTAAGGATGATCCTATTTTTACAATCATTCTGAAAGCCAGAAATATAATAGGAAATCTTACCTTTTCAACAGCCTCAAAGATTTGTATATGTGGAATTACTATATCACACTGTACATCTTTATTTTAGCATTGGGAACACATACAAAAGGTGGTGATATGCTACAGGAGTGGTCAGTGTAAGAGAGATGGATTTTAAACCTACTTTTGCTGCAATTAAGTGCAAATTTTAAGGCACTGCTGTGGATACAAAGACACAAATTAATAAATTTATCTAGGTTAAAATAACCTAGAGAAAGCCAAGTACTGAGGTGTTAACACTGTGCTATTATTATTTCTGGCATCTAAAAAATCTGATGTGAGAAACCCATTTTTAGTACTGGCTGCTTTGGTATTCCAGATAGCAAACTGAAATTCTGACTCAAAAGCAAAGGTTTTTCCGTGTCATTCCTAATACCAAACCAGCTGGACATGCAGCCAGAAAAAGTCCATCTTTGTCCCACATGGGACTACTGTGTTGCTCTTAACCAGACACACATGTTACTTGGAGGGGATTATGACACAAAATTGAGTCTGCCTTTATGTTCCTGAGATTTTTATAGAGAGTTACTGCAGGTTCCTTGAAATGGTTTCCTTCCTTTGTTTATTGGCTTTCTTCCCAATACAAGTCCCTGCCTACACAGGCACTCGCCCCCTACCCACTGGAGATGGGCTGAGGATGCTGGATTTTGGGCTTCCAAAGTGCTATTGATTTGCCTCTGGTTTTTCAAAACAAAAACAAAAATATAGCACAGCTCAACTACAGGTTCCTTTCCCTTCCAAACCACCAAAGTTTGCAAGGACTGAGATGAAAGTTTCAGGTTTGGCTGCACTGTGGTGTTAACCAGAACAGTGTTTATGGTCCATATATAGTGTGGCTAATCCCTGTCCACACTGCCTGAGCAAACCAAATTAAGTGTAATGTTTTTCCATACATTAGGGAGCAGAGGAAGCTTGACAAACCTTGATGTAATCTGGTTTAGCACTGTGGAAAATAACTGTCACAAATGATTCTTAAATAGTCAGAGATACTGGGGTTAATATACAAAGAATAGCAACTCATACAGACAAAGATAGAGGCAAAAATCTGGACACCAAAGGCTCTTCTGTTTGGCTGACACCTTCCCTATCAGTGTGGTTTCCCTATCAGAAGCCACAGCTTTGTTTTTTCCCTAATCCCCCTTTAAGATTTATTTATACCCTAAAGGCTGCAGCCTTTAGACACAACTTGCTCAGCTTGATCAGGCTCCCACGCTTCCATCTAAGAAATTCCACATGGGTGTCTGGACACCTGCACATGGATCCTTGTGCATGCAGGACATGTGGGAGCTGTTGCAATGCTCAGATCATAGAACCCAGAGTGACTGATGGTTGGGATGGGTCTGACCCAGCTGCTCAGCATCCAAAGACTGCAGAATCACAGCATCACTGAGGCTGGAAGGGACCTCTGCAGACTGCCCAGTCACAAACCCTGCCCAAAGCAGTGTCAACAATTTTTTCTCCAAGGTCAAAACTTCTGGGGCGTGTTTGAGAAAGCCCAGTTATATGGGAGTTCTGAGTAGGATGAAGCATGGAGCAAGCAACTACTGTTCTCTATCAGATACAACAGGATGATTCTCTTTATTTCCTTTTCTCTAATGCTGGTATTTTTTCCCTCATTGCAACTCATCATAACTTTGGTATTTGGTTATTTCCACTTTTTTTGTACAGCCCTCACAGAATGAGAGTCTTAACTGGAGCATCCAGGTGCACTGTCACTGCTGGGGGTGTTCAATCCACATCTAGACAGAGCTGGAACTAAGTGGGGCTGGATGGATGCCTGCAGAGAAGAGAGATGTTGAACACAGAGTGCTCAGACAAGTACAGTTACCTTCCCTAAAGATATCAGCCCACCTGTTCCTGGTCATTCAGCATCCCCCAGTACACCCAGTCTACAGAAGCTGGGTGGATGCTGTAGCCTACTCCCACATGCAAAGACTGTTCAAGGCAAGCTTGTAGCTTAGAAGAAAATTTATATCACCAGTTGGGGGAGTGAATCCATGGCTCAGAAACCCTGGGCTGGGATCAACTTCATCTAAACAACTGAACTTAACAACTTCATCTAAACAACTGAACTTAAAGTGTTTGGTGAAGAAATTCCATGGAAGTCCCTGCATTTTCCATGCTGTGTATGGAGGGGAAGCCCCCTAAATGAAGGCTTAGATACATAAGATGTAACTCCCTGAGAAGCCTCAGGAATCACTTCTTCTATACTGAGTGCAGAGGCAGCTTTGCCTCATCCTTCAGGAGGATTGTTTTACTGAGATGGAATTCCAGTCACAGAATCACAGAATATCCAGAGTTGGAAGGGACCTACAAGGCTCACTGAGTCCAAAACATAAACCCCCCTGATACAGCTTCATGCCATTCCCCCAAGTCATCTTTGGCTTGTCTGTCTATACACAGCCACAGTCTACAGCATAGCTGTCTACATCTTATCTATTTCCCAAGCCTTTCTTCACATTCAGTGTATTAAATAAGTTGAGCATCAGCTTTTTTTATTGCTAGAATGAGAGATTTGTCCTTATCACTTTGCTGAGAATAATGTTGGATAACTAAATTGGATGTGGCTGTCATGATCTGAAAATGCCTACATTACAAAAGAGAACTGTACCAGTGCATAAAAATGACTGCCCAGCTTAAAAACATTCCCTACCCTGCTGATGTACTATGGATCTCCCCAAGGGAATGCCATTGTACATCCTTGTTTTATCTATTTGCAGATAGGAGGGAACACTTCTGCTCTGCCACCTCCAAGAGGATCTCAGGGTGTCCAAAATTCATGGGACTGTATATAGGGCAGGTAATTCAGTAATGAGAAGTATCAGAGCAGCACCTCCAGGAGGGGATTTCCTGGTACTTGTGCTGCTCATGATGATAGATGTTACCAAAAGATTAATGGTCTGCCCTGTGAGAATGGCAAACTAAAGTTATTTTAAATGCATTCAGCTGTAGAAGAAGATCATGTATTTAACTTTAGAGTCAGTCTTGGCTATCTAAGCTGCTTTTGTTTGACTACTGATTTTATCTGCCTTGCAGCCAAATTGCTGCAAACTGATTTCTTAGTCTATTGTCAACTAACAAGGGAAAGGTCTGTGCAGAAGAAACCTTGAGGGAAAAGCAGGAGCATGACTTTCCACAGATTCAGCTCATCTAACATTAGCCCTTCAGCTGGCATTAGCGTGAGGCCGTCATCTTGGCTCCAATCAAGAAAGAAGCACTTCTGGGGTAAAGCCATTCCAAGCTATCAAGTCCCTAAGTGGGGTGAAGGATCATGCTCTGAAGCATCTCTCCCCACCCAGGACTTCTGGTAAGTCAACTACCTTAGATGAGCTGAGTATCTTCCAAATGACTGAAGCTGGGTGAGCTGGATTCCTCACTTTATAGGTAGATGTAGCAAGTAATTTCACAGAACCACAGATTGGATCAGGCTGGAAGGGGCAACAGCAGGGTCATCCTGTCTGTGCCTTCCACTCCAGCAGGGCCATCCCAGAGCACAGGGCACAGGATTGTGTCCAGACATTTCTGGAATATCCCCAATGAGGCAGACTCCCCACTCTCCCTGAACAATCTGTTCCAGTGTTTGGTCACTGTCCAGGAAAGAAGTTCTTCCTCATTGTCAGGTGGAACTTCCTGGGCATCAGCTCCTGCCCACTGCCACTTGTCCTGTGCTGCTGAGCACACAGACTAGAGCTTGGCTCCATCCTCTTGGCACCACCAATTTCCTATCAAATCCCAATAGCAGATAGCTAATGCTGCCTATGTGTTCCTATGGAAAGCACAAAACCATAGAGAGAAGGTTTAAGACACAGGAGAGTAAAAGCCCCCAGAGAGCTTCAATGAATGAGCTTGTGGTTGAGAAGGTGATAATCTTTCAAGTGAGTCAGACTGAATATGGAATCTATTTCAACAGTGCCAATACTTAATTTATTTAAATAACCAGTACTTCAAGGGGGCATATAAAAACGAGGCAGAACAACTTTTAAAGAAGGAAGATAGTGATAGAAAAAGGGGGAGTAATTTTAAACTAAAAGAAGAGAGATTCAGACTCAGCATCAGAAGAAAGTTTTTACTCAGAGGCTAGTGAGGCACTGGAACAGGTTGCTCAGAGAAAATGTGCCTTCCCTGCAAATGTTCAAAGCCATATTGTATGTGACTTTGAGCAACCTGGTCTGGTGGAAGGTGTCCCTGCAATGAGCAGAGAGGCTGGAATGAGAAAATCTTTAACTTCCTTCCATCCCAAATTGTTCTATGATCCCGTGACAATGTGATTCAGTGATAAGGCTACTGAGATGTTGAAATGAGCCTCTTTGATGAGGCAGTGACCTGCAGGAGGCCTCTGTGCTGTGTCCTTTTTGCTCAGGTTTATGCAGCTGCTCTAAAGCTGTCGG